TCAAGTCTTTGAGCTACAGTAGAGACCAAGTCAAGTCTCAAGTCTTTGAGCTACAGTCTAAGTCAAGTCTCAAAACTTTGAGCTACAGTAGAGACCAAGTCAAGTCTCAAGTCTTTGAGCTGGAGTCCAAGTCAAGTATCAAGTCTTTGCGCAAAAGTAGAGACCAAGTCAAGTTTCTAGTCTTTGAGCTAGAGTCCAAGTCAAGTGTCACATCTTTGAGCAAGAGCAGAGTGCGACTGAAATCAACTTGAGTCCAAGTCCCCATCTGTGCTGTGTTCACCAGCTAGTAGCCAACTTTGTTAGCATACCATTTGGTGCTGGACAGGTAGTGTACAGTGGGCTATTAAAACCATTGTATATGCTGATGAGAATCATGAGAGTGAACAGTAAAACCAAAATACTGATTTATAAAATGCCATAAAGCCCAGTGAAGCTGATGAGAACTGCAGAGTCATATGATGAGTGTCTGTGGGTTTGTTATTAAGAGCAACAACGTTCACGTTACTCATAGTACTTTATTCCATTGTTAATACAAAAATATTTATTACAGCAACTTTAATATTTGAACCTGTAGTTGAAGAAGCTGCTATATGTGACTAGAGTATTATATATCTTTTCTGGCCACAGTGTCATCCCGCACGTGACGGACTGCGGGGAAAGTGCTGGTGTGTGGATCAGAAGACGGGCATGAGGCTGCCAGGCCCACTAGAGCTTCGAGGGGATCTGGACTGCCACCAGTTAATGACTGCTACGCTGAGAGATTGAAGAGTGGAGAGGCAGTGAGGGTGCAGTACCAGCTGAATTCAACTGCCGTTTATTAGTAGAACTACACGAGGAAAGGACTTTGCTCTAAAGCCTCACTTCACCTGAGGCCAACGGTACTTGAGCCTGTACAACAAAAAGGAAACCAATGATTTGAGTTCTTTTGCTATTTTGTTTGTGTGTGAGAGTATGTGAGTCTTTTGAGCACTTGTTGTGTATTGTTTCTACTATGTGAACTTAAGACTGTTAAGTCTTAAGATACATGTGCTTTAAAGTTACAGGTGGCAGAAAATAACCTTCCACAGATAACAGTTGTAATTGAGCAAAATGTGTTGTTTTCCTGAGTCTAACAATAGGGTTTTCTTGAAAAGTATGAAAATGCATCAACATACCAGATAATCAGACCTAAACTACAACAGGGTCTGTTAACATTTGTTTTAATCTCTCTGGAGCACTAGACCAGTTAGAATTACTGCATTAGGACTATCCAGAAAGATAAATCAAAGGATTGCATACTAGTTTTTCACACAATTTGCGGAATTGGTTGTAACATATAGCTCTTATTCTACTGCCCTATATGTCTTAAACCCCACCCATCTGGTCAGAAGGTTAAAACAAAGCACAAAAAGTGTTTGCAAACACAAAGTCTAGTTCAGCAACAACACAAGAGTAGCAATAAAAGATTGGATGACAACAGATAAAATGAAAAAAGAAACAGGGGAAACAAAGGAATGCAACAAACCCCTGCTATGAGTTACCAAATGATAAGCCATAGCTTTTCACAACATCAAGACCAAAGTGAAAAGGGATTTAGTTTGAACAACTGTATCTCTGAAAGGCCAGAATGGATGTGCTTCATCTCCCGGCGGTTAACTCTGCTTGCTCTCTTTGCCGAAGAGCTCTCTCTAGCATCGAGCTCCAGAGGGACTTGCAGCATAGCGGGGCTAGAAACTCTGTACACTGCTGATAGGATAATCTCATTTCTCCAGCTGGTGCTAAAATGCCAGTGTGTCTTTCATGTTTGGATGAATATGCTTCAACATACAGGATTTTTCTCCAAACAGACTGCTTGGCAGAACTTTGGTGGTGCTATATACTGATTGTGCCAAAATACAAAAAAAAAAATTGTTGGGCATTTTTTAGGATTGTAACAGAAAACTGGGACTTTGAGGAAGTGGAGCAATTAGCATCAGCAAGTGCGAGGATCACCTAAATGTGTGACCATCTGCACTAGCTATTGGCAAAGGCTGCTTTCAATGTGTGTTTTGAATGTTATTGTTAAAATATGAAAGAAACATCCAACCTTGGTGCTGCACTATCACTGCAGCTACAACTGGCTAATTTGTTCATTGGCCAGTGCTGTAAATTGCAGATGTGATGTGTCTCAAATATACAAGCAGAGTGTCATACGTTTGAATGATTAAGCTCCTAGCAGCATAGCAACTCCTACTTAACATGAAGCTTTGAATGGAGGAGGTGCAGCAGTAAAGATAGCATAATGATTATGTGGAAACCAGAATTTCCTCTTTTAATTTGACAAGTGTTCAGCGTTCATATCATCTGTAGGGCATCCCACTAATAAGTAAAGGAGTGTTTTACCAGTGCAAATGACGTAGCTACTCATCAAATATTTTAGATACTGTAGGCAAGACTGGCAATTTTCTTATAGCAGTTTGATTGTAAAGCATTGTGAGCAGAGCAGCAGGTTTAAGCTAGTGGTGGTGTTTGGACAGCCTGCTCTATCTGTTCCATGGGACACTTTGGTTATAAATGATTCAAGCACAAATTCATCTTGTGTGGATATAGACGGCCAGTATTAGTGTTGCTGTACCACGCAGAACAGCATCAATGTCAACCTAACAAATCATTGGTGTGTAGATTACAGTGTAGTAATGTCAGATATGTTGAAAAGAAGAAAAAAAAGATAACAAGACAGCTACTCTCACACAGTTTTGGTTCTTTCTGTCTCCACACACTCATATTGCATCCGGTGAGCTTTAAATAGAACTATTAGAGCACAACACTCTGAAGGGAGGTCCATTCAGCTCCACACAGTTATTAAAAAGTGCCATGAAAACTATTACTGTTATCATTATTATCATGCATTTTTCCATATTAAATTCGGTCCAACTTTTTCTCCCCCTAAAATGCAGAAGTATATGCATATATAAATAGTAGTGAGTGAGAAAAGTAAACTCCTGTAATTGTGGTGCTATTCTCATTCGGTTATCGTGCGAGGGAGAAGAACATAAAACCTTCAGCTGTGAAATGTAGTTGCTCTCACCCAGTAATCTCAACACAGCAAAGTGAGGACAGTTAGATACTGTATGGGCCAGCCCAATCCCAAAATCAACATCAGACTGAGGATTTCTTTAACGTATCTTCAGTAGATCTTGAAGCTTCATGAAGGTGACATTTTGTAAAACAATCTTTCTACTAAACTAAACTTAAGAACTTGAATGGTGTGTTTTTAGTGCACTTTGTCATTTTGCTTCAAAACTCACTTAAGAAATTGGAAAAAAAATAACTTAAAGAGAATTACAATTAATTTGCAATAGATTCATATCCTATATGTTTATTCATTACAAACTAAACTAATAGAAATGATCTAAGGAAACAAAACTACATACTACATACAAGAAACGTAATCATATCACTGAAACCAGTGGTCAGTTTGCTGGAAACAATGTATTGCCACCTGATGACCAATTTTGCTTGTCACTACAAAAAGAAATGTATGCTAAGGTAGTTCACCAAAACACAGAGAGATAGATAGGAGATGGTATGGATGGAGAATCATTGCTACAGCTTACAATTGTCAAAAACCAAATATCATAAAACTTGTTCCAAAGATTACAAGCATCTGGAGACATCAATATTCATTCAGTGAACTGCATGCACAAACTCCTTCTAATCATTACCATTAACTAATAAATTGTTACTAAACACATTTCTCTATTAATGGTAACATTTGAGAGAGTAAATGGCAAATGGTTTCGGCTTTGACATTGTAAAGGCCTTCTAACTATAAACTGTGTATTTACGTAAACTATAATACGCTGCTTGATCTCTAACCTTGCTGTAATGAACTGTAATTGCATTTCTCGCGAATAGACTGTCCCTGTTTGCCTTTGATATTATCTATTAACGTTCAGAAGATATGAATTAATGTTTGCATGCATACAAATGGACCAGGGTTGGAAATATAAGTCTTGTGTATATTGTCCTGAACAAGACCACTGTAATAAAACACCATGTGTGATGAAAGAACTGAAATATAGAGTTTCAACCAATGAGACGATCAGTTACATTGTAAATGTTGACCTGATGAAATTGTACACATTGTAATAAATCAATTAAAACACTTTAGAAACTACAATTTGGTTGCTGTTGCTGTTATTATTAGTAGCAGTAGTAATATCAGTAGTATTGGACGATTTTAGCTTATCACAGATATTATAGTACCAGTAAGCCAGTAAGTCACAAGAAGTACAAAACGCCATACTGCAGCTATGTTTTCTAGCTTGTATCACATAGACAAAATACAAAAAGTAAACAAACATTAAGAATTTACTGATATATAAAGATGAACTAGTCTTTGGTGGCTATTCTATCAAAGATGTATTTACTAGCCGTAATATACGGTTATTTATTTAATGCAACATATTTGTGATGTGTTTGTATTGTTGTTTTTAAGTTATTACTGATACCACTTTAATACTCGGCAAAGCTCAGTGTTAAGTATTTGATAGGCTTTACTTTTTGACAATAAAATGTTCTCATCAATTATCAACGGTATGTGACTATTTCTAAATGCTTACATGTGATTTGTTAGGAAAAAGTAACCAAAGCATCAATAGATACTGTTCCAAAATCTAACAGTAAACACATTTTTGGATAAAAGGTTGCAGGTGCTTGATTACATAATGAGCTGTGTTCCAGGAGATACTTCACATCAGAATTTACAACCAGAGCAGAGCTTATGTGTTTCTTTCAACAAAAAGTTAAAGTGTCAAATGGTTGTATCCGGCCAGAGGCATACTATTTAACATTTACGGTTGACTTAGGAATTTATGAAACCAACCAAGTGAGAAAGAAAATGTCCCATATGTTTCCTTGAACATATGGTGAATGCTGGTTTGACAGGCAGGTTAATGATAAAATGTAAGACATTTGTCAAAAGAATACCTCTGGAATGATACATCATAACAATCTGACTGCAGCAGCTTCTAAAAATACCCCCACCATCCACCACCAGAATAAACTTTCAAGTCTGCTTAGTTCCACAGCCTGAGTCTATTTTGGGGAGCTCTAAAGGCTTATGAACTGGGTCTGAAGCTGCATTACAAGAACAGCTTTACGGGTTTTCCTTTGATTGATTAGAAATGTCACAGGCCCTGCTGCCTCTGGGCATCCACAATCCCACAGCTGTGCCTGGGAGGCCCTGTGTGAGTGTGTGTGTTAAACCTGCACAGTAGTTTACAGGAGGCATGTGACGTCCACCCTACCTCCAGATGGACTCCAAAACAGGTGTCTGGCGCTATAGAAGGTCCTCCTCCTGTGTGGAATCTGCTCCCGTCCCATCCGTGCAGGTTTCTGGCCATTGCCTGGTAGAGAAAAAGAACATGAAGCACCACACCTGTAGATTGGACCACAACATTGTCTGCATGCATATTATACAGGATGCAGGTCAAGCAGAAATACAATAATCTCTCAAGTGTGCAGTGCAAACAGACAGAAACGGGGACACAATGAACACAATCAATTAACAAATCCAAAAACAAGCACTATTCAGGTTGAATGGACAGAGATGTAGGCTAAATCCTACAGGCTTTGGATTGTTATCTTTAGGGAACACACTATTACAACTATTGACCTGGACGGCTCTCAAACAATGTGAACAAGAATGCAAAGTATTTCAGTTCTAACAACAATGGAGCAGTGAATAGGGCAACCTTGATTTTCTAGTGGCCTGTGAAGCCTCCGTAATACAATTTACGGTATGGTGACATAATGAATCTTTTTTTTTAAACATTATATAGCCTGAGATTATTACCTTTTTGCAAAACATGGTTGTAAACTGTAGAGCAGCTGCACTTGCATGGCATATTTTTGACATGAGGTGATGTAATTTTGCAGTCAAGATAACACTGTAAATCAGCTTTTTGCTCCATTATGTTTGTGATAATTATTATGATGGTGCACATCTACATGTCAAAGATAATGTAGGTAAAACGTGAAATCCCATTTGGCTGCGCTGTTAAGTTACCTTCTCTTTTATAAGCATGGAGTGACTGTTCTTGAGGAGAAAGATGTTTCTGCTGTCATATTGATAAGTGAGAGCTGCAGCACTGACAGTTGATGGCGATGAGCATCAGCATCGAGGCAAAGCACAGCTGTTATGAGGAGAGGGTGGGGGTGCAGTTCTGGAAGATTCTGCAGGAATCTGACGAGTGGACCCCATTTCATTCGTTTATTGTGGGGACTGTTTCTAGGAGCTAGGTGGGTTAGCCTTCCCTGTCAAAGCCACAACTGTGGTGGGGGACTAAAGGTATAAGGACTAAAGGTATAAGGGTGAGTTTTCTCACTTTAGTATACAAGCTTGCTTGTCACCATCAAACATCTATTGGAATTTGTATACCTCTAGATACGTTGGTTTGACTTGACGTTGCATGCTAATTGTATCTCAGATGTTATTTTTCTTTTCATGTAGGTTGCTAAGCTACGTAACCAGACCAGCTAACGTTAATTCATCTGACGAGACAAGCTAACGAGATGGTATCGAATATCTAGCTAACGTTAAAACAATATAATTACAGCCAACGCACGTTAACAAACGCTGTATTTGCTGCTGGCTTCTGCTGCATACTAGCTAACCAGGCTAAGTAGAAACAACAAACTACAGTAGCTAGCTAACGTTACATCACTAGCTACCCCGCTAGCATGAATACATGCTAACATTAGCTTGGTAGCTAAACTGCAGCACTCTCATTGATGTTCGCATAGATGTAGCGCTAGCGTCGGGAAAACGTAGGGTGCAGTCCCGACTACCAGTGCTAGTTCACCTCTCCACGTTGCCATATCCAAATAGTCATAACGTCTTTGACATTTCGTGCGACCCATATTAAAGAAACGCTGTTGTTGACAACATCTCTTTGCCTAACATGAAATGTTCCTGCAAGTTATATCCAAAATATCTGCAGATAATAAAGTATTGTCGTTTTCTAGCCAGCGTCACCGACGGCATCTCTTTTGTTTTGTACCATGTAGGAACCACCCTGTCCACATAATTCAACTCATCAATACGAGATCAAACGCTATCCTGCTCTTAAAATGTGTTCATTACAGAGCCAATGACTGGAACACACTGATACCTTCTCCTCACTGCAGAGATGTCAAGTAAGGACCTGGGAGTGTTTTAGCTAACGTTATGATATAAGGTATCACACACATCAGACTGTCTCCATGAATCCATGTTACGTGACACAATCATAACACATTAATATCTTAAGTTTATTTATGATGAACAGAATTGATTTAACTGTGATTTGTTGCTGATGGTTTTATTTCATATAGACAGCAAGTATTGTTTCGAAGAAATAACTGTGAAAGGGTTAGCTAAGAATGAATGTTAAAGAATTGGAAATAATAAAATGCTGTTTCACTTGACTGATGCTGATGTTTCATTTGGACCTTTTCTCTCACAACAGAGAGACCATCACATGCCCCACCGCCTCCCCCCGCCCCTACAACAGTAAGCTGATGTTGCTGTTTGGACACTTAATTTAAGTGCATGATTTTAATATATGCTTTACCATACATTTCTCGAAGAGATTAGTTTTTTTGTTGAATCCACAAACCCTGTTAAGGATCCAGACTGACTACCGCTGCTTCTGAAATGATTGTTTCTTTGTTGCCTCAGCATGAATGCAAGTTTCTTTATTTTGCATTTTCCCAGCTTTTTTCATTGGTTACTTTATTTTTGTTTTGTGTTGGGGTCCCCCCCCCCCATCCTCCTTTATGTAATTTCTCATTCATATTTCTGTCTCATTTATTTCCTTCAGCAAATGCCCAACACTGCCGGGTTTGTGGGCTACAACCCATACAGCCATCTGGCCTACAACAACTACAGACTGGGAGGGAGCCAAAGCAGCAACAGTCGGGTAACGGTATGAATACGAACAGAAAACGTAAGGTGACCAAAAATGTCAAACCGACCCAAGGGGAGAAACTAAAATCGAAATAAAACAGTTCACTTCTACTTAAGTTTGACACAACACTAAACAGTCAGCCTGCTTAGTCAAAAGAAGACACTGCAGAAACATCTGCAAGCATCATTAGCGTTGGAGGTTTTCACAAGATCGACCTTTGCTTTGTTCAGTGCAAATAAGTTTAGATACATATTTTGCTGTTAAAAGAAAAAAAGGTCCGTATGAAAAAAAGGTCAGTATGAAAAGCCTAACTCCCTCTATTACTGAGAATGAACCTGTAATGCGTGTCACTCTAGACTCCCTCTGCTGTCTCCATCACAGTGCAGGCTGGTTAAGAGTCCATCTGTGTGCATTCAAATTCCACCTGCCTTTCAAAGACGGCATTTCTGACAGTCATGTAAATAAGTAACCCATGCCACCAGTGCTGGTGGCATGGGTTACCAGAGCCATGCAGCCAGAGCTGCATGGCTCTGGCTGCTGAGCTGTAATTCAGGCGCTGCATGCAAGCTGCGGTTGGCTGACTCTAATAATGGCATTATGGGCAAATCTCAGCTTAAGTTGGGTTTTTGTATTTTCCTTTCACAGTCAGCGCTATTCCTTTGTACTCCGTAGGGCTCCTCAAACTGTCATTAATAAATCAAGTTAATTGAACTGATAAAAAGTTACTTTGATGCATCTTGTATTTGATTATAAGTCTTTTTTTTGGATAGTTTTATTTCATATTACATAACATGCACCTGCACATAGTTTCATGAGCTGTCCTTAGCCGAGGTAAGCAGGAGTGTTTACAGGGTTGCCTGATAACTCCACAGCAACAGTGCCTTAAGGTGACTCTTTTTCTTTATTTACCAGAATTCCTCTGGAACAAATATCCCAAAGCCACCCAAGCCACCCGATAAGCCATTGATGCCATATATGAGATATAGTCGTAAGGTAAGTGCAAAGTGTGTGATTGCTGCATTTTGCAACATGATGTGCTCTGTTGGAAGACAGGGATGCTTTGCTTTTAAGATATTCTATTAGCTAAAAAAAAGTAAGACGTACATTTTGTTTCAGACACTAATAGCTGTTTATCGAGGTAGGTATCAAGCTAAATTAAGCCAAGACTGTCCACATCACATAGTGGGATTTATCGACTTGGAGATGAAGCTTAAAGCACACGGCCTCCTCTGGTTTGTGACCTCTCTGCAAAGAGATAACCACCAAAAGCCCCTCCAACCCAACCCAACTCCACACCCATGTCTGGTTCTCATCACCAGGTTTGGGATCAAGTAAAAGCCTCCAATCCTGATCTGAAGCTATGGGAAATTGGGAAGATAATCGGTGGCATGTGGAGGGACCTCACTGATGAGGAGAAACAGGATTATTTGAATGACTACGAAGCAGAGAAGGTTGGTTGTTTAACAAGGGGTGTTTATGGGAGTTTTCTGACGGGTGACCAGTAGATGTGTCTCTAACAGTTCTTTCCCTATCATGTCGTAGTTGATAGAAACGAGGGCCCACGCTGTGTCTGCTTGCCATCTCGGTTTCCTTGTCAGTCCTTTCATCTTTTCCGCCGTAGATTGAGTATAACGAGAGCATGAAGGCCTATCACAACTCGCCAGCCTACCTGGCCTACGTCGCTGCAAAAAGCCGGGCCGAGGCCGCCCTGGAAGAGGAGAGCCGCCAGAGGCAGTCCAGACTGGACAAGGGCGATCCTTACATAAGCATTCAGCCAGCGGAGGATCCAGATGGTAAGGCCACTCAGCTAAATGCTTCATCTCCCAAGGTTTAGAGCACTGTGACAGAGCTTTATTTACTGTAGCATGACCACACAGAGTTGACACTGTGTTATCCCCCCCCCCCCCTTTCTACACCGCTACATCCACATTTTTGGTAACGCTACCTTTGAAATCCCATTTCTGCTTTCAAGCTGCAAAATGGAAAAAAAACGTTTATGTTTTGCACAATTGTTTCCATTTTGTAGGTATTCCTGGCATTGGTTTAGACGTAATTGCAGAATTTACATTCTTTTGTCTGTTGTTTTTAAGACTCACACACACACACACACACACATGCACATACACGATAAACACCCAAGCCAGAAGAAGACGTTTGAGTTACACCCACCTCAAGGAAATGATGCTTGTCTGGGGTCGGACAGGGTTACAGTAGACGATAATGATGAACAGGAAAACTACAGATAAAACCAATTGCTATTCAGAAACACCCCAGACCATAAAAATGTGACTTTGTATCCCAGTGGGTTATGTTCTTATAAGACTGCACGTACGTCAATGATTAAATGAGAGTAGGCTCTCCGGGTGGCTACATACTCAGAGATTGGGCTTTATTAATAAATACAGTATTTGTTGAATGTTTGTAATGGGTGTAATGTAATCGGGACAATATTTGCCATTCAGCAGGTGCCGTGTACACTTAAAATCGAATGCAACATAACCTGAAACAACATTAATCATGCAGAATATTGTCAAAACATGTAAAAAATACCAAGTTCAACACATTGATGGGACTGAATTCTCACACACTAACGTCAGAATGTCTTACTTGACTGTTTCCTGTTGTGGTGTTAGACCAACTACTTGAGCACCGTTGAAACGTTCAACATGGCAGATGAGATTCATTTCTGCTCTCTTTGAAACCCACACATGGGTGCACACACAGCAGCAACTTCATGTGATGAGAGCTTTTGTTGCATCGCACAGAGGTTTAGCAAAGTTTTGCCACAACAAAGCCAAAAAGGAGTGCCTCGCATATAATAGTGTTGAACAACAAGTTGTAATCACTGGCAAAGATGATTCTAACAGTTACTGTAGTTCTGTATTTTAGTCTGAACGCATTTGTAAAATATACAATTAAATAAAATATCCTATTTGAATTAATCTGGATTTGATTCCTTATCACTGCAGTGTGGAAGAAGTAAACAGGGGTAATTGTTCTTGCACCATCATCCTGTATCTAAATGTCAGCGGAGTATACATTTAAGACAAAGAAGAACATTTGCTGACGAATGGAAATTGCAGACTACATCTTGAAAGTGTCCACTTACACTGGGTTATAATTAAGCGCTTGTTCCATTTGCCTTACAATAACGGTTCTGCTTTGCTTCAGGATGTATTTTCACATAATGGCCTATACTTAAGCCTCTTTCTGTATAAATATTGAGCAATATCCTCCTCCTGTTTATAGTTTCTTGATACAGCAGTATTTGCATCATTCTGTCACGAGTGTCGTAGTTTGCCGAAGCCTCTCATACTTGTGACTGTGTAACACATCTCTACTCTTTGCCTTTTGACAGGCAGGTGTGTGAATATTTATTCATAACTCAGATGTTTTTTTATTTCTTCAGATTACGACGACGGGTTTTCAATAAAGCACTCGGCTGCAGCTCGTTTCCAACGCAACCACCGTCTGATCAGCGAGATCCTCAGTGAGAGCGTAGTCCCAGATGTGCGCTCAGTTGTTACCACTGCTCGCATGCAGGTCCTCAAACGCCAGGTCCAGTCTCTGATGGTGCACCAGGTACGATCCCGTTGTGGTCTTCTAATCGTCACATAACGGTGGCATTTAGCACACAGCTTTTGTTTTTTATAGGTTAATAATGTAATAATCACGTGGAACCGTGTGTGTCATGTGTCACAGAGAAAATTGGAAGCAGAGTTGCTTCAGATTGAAGACCGCCACCAGGACAAGAAAAGAAAATTCATCGATGCTACAGAGTCGTTCACGAATGAGCTCAAAAGGGTACGCCATCTTTGACATCATCGTTCTGCCCACACGCAAGCTTCATTTGGCATGTTTACCTGTACAATGTGCAGCTCTGGTTATGTGCCAGTGTACATCTGCCTTACAGCAATCATATAGCCGTTAGTGGTTACAATGTGTAGCCCTAATCAATAACCTTTGTTCTGAAATGAGATGCAGCACTGTGCAGTTGAATGCACTGTCTACTGTTCACAACAGGCGGCGCCATTTATCCTTCACAGAATCTATTCACTGACTCAGAAGTAGTATTTTCAAACATGTACTGAAACCGTGTTGTAGTTATGAACGTAACTCATTCAGTTACATTAAGTTGTTACTTTGTGTTCAACCTGCACATGCATGTTCAACCAATACTAAACTTTGAAAAGTGAAAAGAGTGCAGCAATCGTTTCCACCTTTCCACATTAAATTCCACATTACTGTGCTTTAAAGCTGTGCTGTCTGAAGGTGGAAGTGGACATGGAGAAGATTTCTACGGAGATCTCTGCAGCAGAAGAGACAGCTCGCAAACGAATGGTAGAACGCGATAAGGATGCAGGAGACAGAGGCACAAGAGATGCCCCAACCTGTGTGTTGGCAGAAGAAGAAAAACACATCTGTGCCACACATGGCAATAAGTCCCAGCAAAACTCTCAAAGTGAAAGTAGCAACAAAGAAGGCGAGGAAGCAGAATCCAACGCCACAGATACACCAGGTGAGCCACGCTGGCTTTGCTGTTATCTAGCTCTCGTCATGTTTAACATCATGCAATCTTCTTGTTTCTTTGACTCAGGGAAGCCAAAAGCTTCAGAGGAGCTCGAGACTCATCCAGGCAGTGAGGAGGGGGCATCCGAGGACAAGGAGAGCGTCCCAGAGGGAGCCATGGAGGAGGGAACCAGCGACAGTAACACAGGCTCAGAGACCACCTCTGCTCAGACAGAAGATGCCCCGATTAGTGAGCCATCAGAGGGGTCCAGCAGGGCAAAAGCAGCCCACTGAGTCCAACAAGGTTCACCAGCTGTGAACTCTAAGGCTATCATTGCGTCTGCCGGTCTCCGGTATCACCCTCTGATAACATATATTGCACAGTAACATCTTAGTTTGTCAAAGAATATGAAGAACATTTAGATGGGCTCAATGTTTTAACACGCCTGAGGGAGAGAGGATGTTTGAGTTGAGTTTGAAAACACCAAGGCTTGCAGACATGCGCTGAATACAAAAAAATGATAAAAAATGTAAAGCTGACAAAGCAAAGGTCCTGTCTAAAATCAATGGCTGCTAAGTGCACCCATGTGAAAGCACTATATTTCCTCCACAGGCCTCATTGCCATTTGGAAGAACCCATACGAGCCCTCTTCAGCACACACCGATACATATCTCTAGCACTCTGTCTCGCAGACGCCAGACTGTCGCAAACTAAGGCTGGCTATTTGAAAAAAATGCTGTCACATGAAACAAACATAGTTCAGTGTTATATTTAACTTTGTCCTTTGTATTGTAATGCCCTTGTTGCTTTGATTGTTATTTTTGCATGATGCAATGTTTGAAAATAAGTTGGCACACTTGTGAAGAGTGATGCTGGGTGACCATCTCCTTGGCAGGAGAATATTAGTTTACTCTCCGTATCAGTATTACAGTGACAGTATTGTCTCAGCAGTCTGTAATCAGTAGTGGCTATTTTTGTTATTTATTATCAGCATTTTTATTAAACTTTGTGTATTGGTTGTCCCAGTTCATCCAATAAGTATATCACATGATCATCAATGCTGTACAATGCTCGACTACCATTGTTCTCAAGTTTGCTAGCTGTCAATCAAATCAAAAGCAGTATGCTTAGAACATGTCTGTCATGATGAATATTGCAATTTTCCGTACCGTAATTGTGTACACAGTGTGACGAGGTTTGCTTAAACATGGATTTTCATGTCGTGAAACAGCTTGAAGAACACTCATAAAACATGCAGTCTTACAATGAATTTCCTTTTTGCATATTTATACCAATAAACTTTTCTACCCTGAACAAGTTCTCACTTCAATTGTTGTTCACGAAAACCTTTGAAGCAAAAAGATCACAAACAAGTATGCGGTAAACAGGTATGCAGAGGCTTGTATCAAACATTCATTGTTGCACACAACGTGCAGTGCATTCGCATAGCTATTAGTCCTTTGCACAGTATAGGTAAGGGAAGTGGGTAAGATGAGAGGGAATGGTTCCGATTTCCTGTTATCAGTGCAGAACTAGCAACCTTCCTGAAAGTTATTTTGTGTTGTCACAAAATTCAGCATTAGAGCCTAAAGGAGAGAATTAGACCTGATAGGAGATATAAGCCTTATTTGTCATGTTTTCTATGATTTAAGCCTCCCATAGCATGGAGTAATGATCAGACGTCATAGTGCTGTAGTTTCAATGTGACAGATGTCGCCTGCAATGCAACTTGCCACATTTTGTTCCATGTGGTTACCACTGCCTCAAGTGAAAGCAAGAAACCACAACCGCACAGACACAGGTGTGCAGACGCCTGTGTAGAGCTCATTGTAGGCCTCATCTGCTGTCCAGCACGACAACTGTCTCCATAAAACTGTGCACTGTACAATGTTGCAAAAAGAAAGGCTGTTGGAAATACAAGCAAATAACTCCTAGTTTTAACAGAATTATCTTTTTAAGAAAAGCAAGCTGTCTCTCTTCATGTTTTATTAAATACTGTATAAAACTATATGATGACTTAATATTTACTCTTGTGAGGTGCAAATAACAGTTTGAATGTTAAGTGCGAAAGTTGAATACACTGAAACTCCCAAAATGAGTCTGGCAAACTGGGCATTGTTGCATTTTTTTTTTTTTTTTTTTTTTTATTGGTGCAAAAACTAACATAAATGGGGACTTTACAGGTACAACAATGTTAGATACAGAGATACAGATAAAATACACAAGGGCAGACAAAGAACAGGTTGATGTACAACATTTAACATAAGGCACAAAGCCCGTTAAGGAGCTAGAGAACCGTCGACCCCACACATACACATTATATGTATAAAGCGAGAAAGGACATTTTCGCAAATTTACCCGAGTTACGTTTGTGTGTCATGCATGAGTGTGTGGATAACGTGTGCATGATTTGCGCGTGATTAGCTTTGTCTTTAAGAGTTTATTTTACCACAAAAAAAAATAAGTTTTTGGTTGACATTTTAGTTGGAGTCTGTGGTTTCCTCACATGATACTTCAGGGCTGAAGAGAAAAAGGTTTCACGGAGACAGTTGTTTTTTTCATTTCAACAAAAGGGAAACCACCATCAAACACCGACTCATCAACTCATCTGTGTTTAGTGGCTTTAGGTGCAGCGTACTACTCTCAGTCAACATGACTGGCCTCAGCGGTGAGTACCTTATTCGAGTTTAACTAAGCTAGTTAAAAGGATGTTGTATTTACTTTTGTGAATGAATGCATGTAAAAAAAAAAGGCATCAAAATGATCATACAGTATTTGAAATAATAAACAAGTTAAAGGTAATCATAGTTATGATAGTAATAGTCAAAAGCAAATCTGAAAAAAGTGACCTAAAATACCATGCTAAAGTAACTTTCTGGAATCAAATTAACTAATAGATATTGTGTCAACCATCAACTACATTTAAAGTGTCAATGGGTAAAATGATTGAACACTGGTGTCAATGTTTTAGTCTCTGTAGTAGCTTTTATTTAAAGAGCAGACTGATTGATAGCCACACACAACACGGCAACAAAGACGTGTTTTGTAGATTAACTTATGTGTTAATCAGTAAGAAATGTAGTTGTAGTTGTTTATCAGCCAACATTATTTTTGGAGTAGCCAAAATCTAAATGGTCATATTTGATTACTAATATTTTTTAGATAGGCAATAACATAAACAGATATCTGTCTTATCTCATTGGCCAAATAGCAATTACTGACATATACCCTGTAAAAAACACATATGGTTTTACCAATGTCAAGTTATATGCAGTCTGTATTGAAGTGTAATAAAACACATATTACAACACAGTGTCAATGACTGGAAATGTTGGCTAATGACAATTTCTAAGAGCTTTAATACAATGCAGAACTAAACTACTGACTAAAACCACATCCACTGGAAACATTTACATCTAACAATAATATGCACGGCAGTGTCACTAGTAATCTGAAAACACATTCAAGCAGAGAATATGACCAACAGGCTAGCATTTAAAGGGGAACTCCACCAATTTTCCACATAAAGGTCAGTTTACTAGTGATAACAAGAACTTCTTTGTCAAGTCTAATAAAATAAATAATGATCTCAGTCTGGGCTTGGACACTACACATGTACAACAGAAAGTCTGGGTTAATAACTGGGTTTATGTAGTTTAAAATACGTATGTATGTACCAGGCAGGTAGGGGCTAATGGAGAGATGCTATTGGTAGCATTATGGTTAGTGTAGCAATTTTGGAGTTTAACTCATACTAGGGAGTCAAATTCAAGATATTTTGTTTATTTTTTCTTCAGTTTTGACCCTTCTTTTGTAAATCTGTCTCTCACGAGTACCTTGACATTATGGGATTGCAGCACCCCTTTAACTGATCATTCTATTACTCTCTAACATTACACATAATAGTCGTCTATACAGCTTATTAAGGATATTGTCAATTATGCTATTACAGTGCTTGGTCTTCAAAAAATATATTCAATTGTTTTTCAGATCTCCCAAACCTTCTGCCAGCTGTGCTGATACTGTTAACGAGTTTCAAGGTAAGATTAAAACACAAGTGCAGCACAATCTTATTAGAGTTATAAACATGAAAGATAACAAGATGTTAACACATTCGTAGCAATTTGTATCCACATCATATTTGTTTGTATCAGAGGGGAAAATAGCAGGAAGCAGGTAACTAACCACGACCTTCCCCTCACAAGCAATATTTCCTCTAAGGAAGTGGTTGAACAGGTGTACCAAAAACAAAAAACATGTTGGTTACTTGCTGTACTTTACTTGCTTTTATCTGATCATTTAATCTGACTTTGATTCCAGTGTTCCATGTCTCAACATGAAAATAAAAGCATCATTATTGTCACGGACTATGACTTCTCCATCATGACCTACATGGAAAACTCCAGTGTGGATTATGGTGAATATCCTGAGCTCTGTGTGAAAGAATCCAACCGCCTGTTCCGCTGCTGGTTCATGCCTACCTTCTACTCCATCATCTGCTTTCTGGGGCTGGCAGGGAACCTACTTGTCATCCTCACCTTCTTCTACTTCAAGCGTCTCAAGACCATGACGGACGTGTACCTGCTCAACTTGTCCTTTGCGGACCTGCTCTTTGCTCTGTCGCTCCCCTTTTGGGCAGCCAACTCCATGTCAGAATGGGTGCTGGGTCTGTTGGTGTGTAAAGCCATACACACTATTTACAAGGTCAGCTTCTACAGCAGCATGTTCATTCTCGCTTTCATCAGCGTGGAACGCTACTTCGTCATCGCCAAGGCCGTCTCTGCTCACCGCTACCGCTCCCAGGCAGTGTTTCTCAGCAAGGTGTCATCAGTTGCCATCTGGGTGATGGCACTGATCTTCTCCATACCAGAAATGACCTACAGCACAATCAATAACAACACCTGCACCCCTTACTCCAGCACTTCTGACATGCTCCGCGTCAAAATACAGGCCAGCCAGATTATTTTGGCTTTTGCCCTCCCGCTCCTGATCATGAGCATCTGTTACAGCAGCATTGTCCATACCCTTTGCCAGGCTCGTGGCTTTGAACGCAATAAGGCCATCAAGGTGATTCTCGCTGTGGTAGCTGTCTTCCTGTTCTGCCAATTGCCTTATAACCTGGTCTTGATTTTGAACACAGTTGTCACAGCAAAAGGAGGAACCATAGACTGCAACTACGAGAACAATGTCCTTTATGCCACCGATGTCACCCAGTGCATAGCTTTCCTGAGGTGCTGCCTGAACCCCTTCGTCTACGCATTTATTGGCGTCAAGTTTCGTCATGACCTCCTGAAGCTACTGAAGGACTTGGGCTGCATGAGCCATGCCTGGTTCATCAGGTATACCAGGGGCAGGAGGAGGAGCTCAGGGGCCACCGACACGGAGACCACCACCACATTCTCTCCTTAAAGCTGTTTCAGTATGAAAAACCGCCAATTCATTCCTGCAGACCACACAGTGGACTATTGAACATTAGGATAAAAGTCTCAACTAAAACACAGAACATCGTACATATACATATACATGTACATGTAGAGGTTAAATGACAATTGGGTTTTTGTTGTTTTTTGTTGTTTGTCTCTTGATAGTGTTTATTCTCATCAGTTATGATGAAACAAGGCTTTGGTTATTTGTTTGTGTTGGCTACAGTGTACAGTATTTCAAGAAATTCACAGTGTTAATGAAAAGCTCAACCGAATCATGTTCAATAAACTGAACAAATCACAGTCTCTTTTCTATGTTCTAAACAATTTGCAATATTGAAAAACAAACCAATAAGATTAGAATCACTGAAGACTTTAAAGTGGTGCATTGACAGAATTAGTGTGGATTTAATAAATAAAAAAAACACATTAACTTATGCTCAGGGACATTGATAAAATATAGGAAAAATGGATCCTAATATGTGTTATGAAACACAACAAAGTTTTTTGGCATAGGGAAACTGTGCATTTGTGCAGATTGCATAACAACCAGAAGACATTTCTCAAAGGACGCTAATGATTTATACTTCTACAGCAGTGCCCGTTCTGTCCAGGCCAGGAACATGTATTGCTGAGGCAGATGCATGTCATTTATTTTTATTTGGACGTGCTGTTTTTAAATTCTTTAGGCAGTGATTCCACCTCCTTGTGCTCAAGTTCAATCAAACTTCTGTGGCACCTGGCGCGTCGGCACATTTTTCATGAGGGGCGCGGAAGCTCTGTGAAAGCTTTTTGGCCAAAGTATAAATTAGGTATAAGGCTTAAAGTTACAATGTGTAACACTTGGACACACGCTCCAAACAATAACAAATAACAATTCCAACAACTAATTAACAGCAGGGCAAGAATATGCAAAATTCAACCAAACTGCTGAAACCCAGAGACGGTCAAAATAACACTGCTACCTTATAAGCTTCCCGTGTGGTTTCTGCCTATATTGTGTTTATTGTGTCAGTGTACATTTTGATAGTTTCTTTATGGAATTAAATCCAAAGTGTCTGAAACGAGAAAATGCCTTCACGCCACCAGGAGACTACTTCACCGGGAGGAGAGCGGTCGGCAGCTACGGGAGACGGATCTTCAGTTCGCTGCTCAACTAAATTATAATTACAGCCGGCTAGTGGCCAGCCACAGCGCTGGGTCTAACCTATATAATGGCAGCCACAGAGAGTTTGCTGACCTGTTGGGGAGTCATGGGAAGTCCGGGATCAGACCCCTGGTGCTGGTATTTTTTGAATTTGAGTTGCTAGAGCAAAAAGAAACACAGATTTATGTTTGCTTCTGAGAAAAGGAATGGCAAATGCAGCATCCTAAAGTCTTTTACACACCAGATATCATTAATCCAGAAATCACTTGACTTTAAGGTTAAGGGAGGCATAAACTTCCAGAGCAGACTGATATGCTTTATTAAAACAATTTACCAAGTTATCCCATGCTGTTAAACACACCATAATGCACAGTGTGTAGGTTGACTGTAAAGAAAATTATATTTTTTACATTTAATATAAAAAAAAGCTTACTTCACAGGTGCAGCTTGAGTTGTGTCATGATACCATGTTTACCTTCACACGGTGAATGAAATCTAAATATTCAGTAGCACTAATAAACTCACCACCACAGCTTTGTAAAATCTTCTACTTAAAAATCCTCTACATCCTCAGTGAAATCAGAAAAAATCAGATATAAAGCTAATTTCAGATTGTGATGATGGATGATAATGCAACACACAGGATCAGTGGAGTGAAGCTCCTGCTTGTTTCAATGATTCCTACAACACAGCATTCTCTGCAAACACTCTCCACAGCTCTCCACACTCTATGCCCTCGCCAGTGTTATATTTCATCATGCTAATGTTGAAACAGCTGTGAGTAAGTGTTTACACAAGCACAACATTACAATGTTGTGGAATAATGTCACATGTCTCTTTTGAAGCACTTTCTTTAGTACAGTTAAAGGTGTAAAAAAAAACACCCCTCCATTCATAAACTTTACACTGCTATGGTGACATCATCAGCCGGAGCCAGCACGGATTAGTGATCCTCACTGCTGATAGGCTCACAGGGAAAAGGGTTGGGATTTTATTAATAAAAGCATGCAACGCACGAAAAGTTGAGGTAATACAGTGAACAGTCCAAGAGTAAAACATTACAACTGCAGAATCTTAACTAGAAGAAAATAAGGTAAGATGACCTTTCTTTACCTCAACTTAAGATATACAATCAGTTGCAGTTAAACTGTGTCTATTATTATTATCATTATTACTGCAGCAGTTATTAGCAGGGAGATAAAAAGCTATTTTAAAGCAAATTAGGATGCTCCACATGTCTGCTCTTGTTTCCTAAAATGAAATACTGCTGAATAACTCGAAAGTTGCATTCTTGCATTACAGCTCAGATGCCCATTGTATTTCATGGCACACTATGTCATTGACCAAGATGAGGAATTGTAAACCTAAGTAGGTGCTGCTCAACATTTAAAAAAAGATCTGACTATTCCATAAAACAAGCAGATTTTGTCTGTAGACCACTTAAAAGAAATGTTTTGGCTGTTTATGGAAAACACTATCGTAGTTACGGTAACCACGATTCACCTGGGTGACTCATTGAGCACCACTCCTCGTCTGAAACGGAGAGGGAGACATATTATGATCTGATCATCCCTCATATGACACACCCTTCCTGAACAGCTATTCATGCTGATATCAGCATTGAATTGAGACATTTACTCAGCTTGTGTCATTATTCATTGTGTTGTATGAAAAGCCTTGCGCTACATGTACTGACTTATGCACTGTAGGACACAAACTGTTTACTACTGTCAAGTTAATTTAGCTTAAAGGGGAAACTTTGCCACCTTTTTATGTGGAAGTCCAATCAGTGTTGATGAATAAATGTAGTCGATATTGACCAAAGCTGAGTTTGCAGCTGCAAAATCTGTTGTGCTTCCTGCATCCAGCGCCGTCATTTGCTGTGACAGTGATGTAGTGGAATGCAAGGAAGAACTACAGACTCCAATTTCAGCTTGGATTTGCCGTCTGTACCTCTGGGATATTCAGCCGTATTTATTTAAGACAGAGTATACAGCGGAAGAAATGCAGCAGTGAGAGTCCGAGGTTCTGCTCCACAGGCAAGAAAACTCAGCTTTCTCGGTCAGTTTAGCACAAAGTGAGTAATTGATTGCGTCAATTGACTACATTTACCATCAGCACTAATTGGACATCCATATAATAGGTGGCGATGAAATGAAATATATGTCAATACTGAAAACAATGTTTATCTATCACATCTATTGAAGAACATATTTTATTTAAATCTGGCAGCTGCAAAGTCCATTGCAAATGTTGGGAAGATGTTGATTTAGTAAAAGAAGGCAACAATGAAAAACTTGAGATAGGTGTTTATGCATAGTGTAGTGTAACAGTGGCCAAAATGCAATAAATTATCTATGAATAAGAGTATCGGGGGGGGGGGGGGGGAGCTTTTAATGGGTCTGTTTTGCAAAAAAGGACAAAGGTAAGGCTATCCTTCCAGTAAAGAAGGTGTAACCGAAGGTGTAACCGAAGGTGTAACTGATCTCCCTTCATTGTATCTCATGTCTGCAGTAGTCCCAGAAGACTGTGAGCTCTCCTAACATGATGCCTACAGCTAAATGCATGTCCCAAATGATACCCAATCGCGTCCTGAGAGTGGGTCAAACTATCCGTCTGGACTCGGGGCCGCAGGAGACAGTCAATCAACATCCCAGTCTCACGGAGCCCAGCAGTAACCATGGTGATCCTGATCTTGATATTTCCCTGGATAATCTCAACCAGCTCATCCTGGAACTGGATCCGACATTTGAACCTTTTGACGTCAACAAAAGTCCTTTGTGCATCAGCCCTCCCACAGGTACAGTGCGACTGTAAAGCCACTTCCCTTTGTTTCTACACTTTTCAAACTTTTATTGCCATATTATGTCTCTTACTTAAAACACATCAATGAGGTCAACAAAGGGCAACAAATAACAGCCTACAACCTACTCGGGTGTGAAAAAGAGCATGATAAACCACAGTCACCATTATAGAACAAATAGTACTCATATGCTGGGACTTTGGGAATGTACCCTTCCTTTTTGAGATGGTTTTAATTTTTCTAAATCATGGGGTAATTGCACCACTTCAGCTGTTCTGGGATTACTGCCCAGACTAGTACCACACCCTGCACATGTTGGGCTGCATACACAGAGAAGATCACTGAAGTAGACCGAAGGTGGTACGGGGGTGTCTTCACTCAGACCTGCGCTGATCAGAAAGTGTGCACAAGAGTCAACAAAGAATACAAATGGATTTCCTGTTGCTCATCTTGTCTTGAAAGATGCTTGGTTGCATGTTTATGAGACAGAGTGCTTAAAGTAAAGGAAATCAAGCAACAGAGACGAGAAATCAGGTGAAGAAAGGTTAATTTCATCAGTTAAAACAGTTAAAGAGAAAATGAATGCGCTAAGGTTAGTGCTTCTTTACCATTGTTGCAAAATACAGTATTTCCCCTTTGAAACAACACTCACCACGGCACCTGCCAGTAGTCTCAGACACATTTATATATTTCTGTTTCAACATTAGTCATTATTGTGTAACTTCGGTTGCAGACGACCACCAGTCACACATTGCCCACAGGCTTCAGTGTTTTCCTGAGGGCATGAATTCACTCAGTGCCCATTAACACAGTGAGGCAGACAGATCCCTGAAGAACAAGTTGGGACTCCTCTAGGTGATTTGGTATCATTGCAACACCAAAAATGCACAATTCAAAGCACATATTTTGGAAGGAATGATCTGAGCTGTGCAAGCAAGTACCTGCATGACAAATATGGAAGTCTTTATTAGGATATTTTGCAACTAAGTGTTTACATACGGAGGCCAAGCCCTTTTGCTGACAAAAAAGGCATGAAATAAGCAAAATCAAGCAACACGCAGGGGTTTTCCACATTATCCGTTTCCAGTGTGTTAGCTAACACTTCCCTCTCCATTCACAGACGACTCAGATGAAGATGTCTCCCACTGCGTGTTGGTCCCTAGGGGGTGTTCTCCCTGCTCCCTGCCCACTGTGGTCCCATCTGTGTCAGCCAGTATACCCATCCCTACATACAGCAGTGTCCGCTGCAGTCCCCATGGCACACTGGTGTTCTCCAGCTCCCCTACATCCTCTCTGCCTCCGCTGCCATGTGGCAGTGGAGCCCGACGAAATCCGTCAGCGAAACATGACGCAGCCTTTTCCCAAGGATCCATGCGCCTGTCACCCTCCAACAGAAACAGTGGCGTCTCGCTACTCTCCATGTCAACATGCTCAGACACCAGCTACATCCTTGGCAGGTAAAAATCATAATTAAAGCCAGTCCAAAATATGAATCTCTAACATGCAGTGACTTGTAAATTTGCAGCAAAACTTTAACTCTACTGCAGAGGTCTTCAACAGGGGGTCCGCGAAATTTTTGGTTGATTAGACAATTTTTTATTTTTTTTTTCCAAACATGAATCTGTCCATTATTTTAAAAGTTCAGTATTGTATGCAAGATAACAGGTATTTTTTATAAATAGCAGTGGCAGGCCACCCTACTCACTGTGCCTTGCACATGTTTAAAATAAAAACATGAATATATGAACCTGTGTATTATTTGAATAGCTTAGTATTGTATTGTATTAAGAAACTGACCAAACAGGAAAATGTAACCATTTATTCCTAGAAACAATGTGGTGCCATCAGTAACAGACGGGTAGAACGTTTCTCCTTTTCTGTGATGTTAAAGTTTACTAGTACACCGTGTTGATCTGTATATTTGTATTACATCCTCTTTCTCCCTGCGTAGCAACCTGTCCTTGGCCAGTGAAGACGCTGACTTTCAAGACTTCTTCCTCACTCACACGTCCGGCTCCTTTAGCGATGGGTCCAGAACTACAGCATTTGAGAACAGGCACAGCCCAGACAAGCCCCTGCTGTTCAAGCGAGGACACCTGCAGGAGCTTCAAGGCAAAGGAGCACAGAAAAGTCCTGCTTTACTCTCTCGGTCTTTGAGCGATATTCCTGTACTGCTAGTCAACGGTGAACCACAGCTGGATCTGCACATCCAGTCGCCTGGACAAGAAGTTGATTTAATGCAGACCGTCCACGTGTCTAACTCAAAGCCATTTTCTCCTCACAGTGAGTCACACATCTCACAGTAGTCTATTTTAGTGGCAGCTACTGTATGTAAAACAGTATTTGACCTCTCTATCATATTTTTGTGGTTGTAAAAGGTTTCCAAGCCCGTTTTAATGGCAGCCAGCCCTCAATGAAGTTCGTCATGGACACTTCAAAGTTTTGGTTCCGTCCACATTTCAACAGAGCAGAAGGTGAGAACCTCAAAACATTACTCCAGAAATAATTCTTTGAAGACGTAATAGCTTTACTTCAGCTCAGAAGTTATCTTGCAGTATCTACTATCATTTCCTTCAGGGGTGTAGGACTACTCTGCAGTACCGATACACACACTTGCAACTGTCTCAAGGCCTTTTCTGTGATGTTTCATTCATTCCAGCTGAAGCTCTGGTAAAGAACAAGGAAGTAGGAGCATTTGTTGTGAGAGACAGCACCTCCCACAGAGGCAGTTTTGGTCTGGCTATGAAGGTGGACCAAACGGCCACCAACATCACTGCTACCACCAACCCAGGTAAACGTTTACTGACAGTCTTGCCCTTATGACAAATTTTGAATCACATGCTGTTATAAAGTCATATGAGTGTTTGGTCAGATGCAGCAAAGAGAAGGTCATGAATGCCACAACTACCACAATCACAGATGTGAACATAGTGTGCCATAGTGCAGCTGTCGTCATTTGTCTATAAACAGGGGTCTAGAAGGAACAAGGAATCACTTACCCAACTGTGCTGATGTGAATGGGCATGTCTGATGACCTCCAGCTATCTGTGGTGAGGCAGGAGACAGTGCTGTTATGTTGTCCACCCACATTATACGCTGTGTAAACACGAAAGAAAACCCGATGTTTATGGCACTCCAAGCAATCAAAGAGGAAACTAGAATTACCGCCTTGTGGTTGTATGCCTCCGCCAACCAGTCATGTTGCAGTTTATGTCCATGTCTGTCCAACACGTCATCACATCATCATTTTATCCAATTAGACATTTGTGTGGAATTGTTGGCATATCAAATCTTGAGTTATGGCCAAAAACGTTTTTTTGTGTGGTCACAGTGACCTTTGACCACCAAATTCTAATCAGTTCATCCCTGAGTCCAAGTGGACATTTAGAATTTTTTAAGAATTTCCCTCCAGGCATTACTGAGATATTGCGTTAATGGGAACAAAGTCCCAGAAAGATGCAGGTCTGCTGAGACCCTCAGCTCCTTTAAATCAAGATTGAAGACTTTTCTGTTTGCTGCTGCCTTTAATTGAACCAGATTCAATTAATATATTAATCAATTTCCTGCATTTCTGCATTTTACTACTGTATTTTATTTCTTACACTGTTCTTTAATGTTTTAATGAATGTTCTTAATTGTTTTCAAATCTCCTTTTCTTTTGCCTTATGTTTTGATGCTTTTAATGGTTTTATGTGAAGCACTTTGAATTACCTTGTTGTTGAAATGTGCTATACAAATAAACTTGCCTTGCCTTGCCGAATGAACCAGACGGATAACCCCAAATCATAATGCATTCGTGTGGGCGTCAACTATGGTGGGGGCAGCTCAATGTTATAATGAGTCAGCAAGAGCTGGCACATTGACGGGCCGATGAACACTGAGATCAGAAACAAGTGCAAACTTGGAAAAAACATTCAAGTGAAAGACTACTACATAGACCCATATTTTGAATTTCATTTACAAGAGTCAACAGACACTGGCAGATGGAATAGATGGAGTAGTATAGAGGCATTCCTGAAGAGCAGCGTTTATGTGTTTTTAGTGATCTTGGTATTGTTCAAGATGAATTAGATTTTGTGATTAAATGCCTCATGTACAGCAACCGACAGAATCATCTTTTTGAAAAAATAGCTGACTCCTATTTTGGTTGTCTGAAGCTAATTTGTTAAGTTGGCTTTTTAATGAGTTGGCGTTAGGATCATCTTGGTGTTTGTTGTTGTCTAGAGTCTTCTCAGCCCATATGTTGCTCAGGACATTATAAATCAATAAGTTAAAATAATCAAAATATATATATTTTAAATTGATCAGCCATAAGCCATGAAATAACTGGCAGTGCCATCACTTTTATGTATCAATATCATATAATGTACATTAACTCCACTGTAAATATGATTTTTTTCTGACAATTGTTCTTTCATCTATAGGAGAGAGCAGCTCAGATCTCATCAGACACTTCCTTATTGAATCATCAGCTAAGGGCGTACGTATCAAAGGCTCTTCTCAGGAACCGTACTTTGGTAAGTAAAGGTCAACAAGAAGACCTCTTTGTCACACATAATCTAGAAGTGATCCTTCTCAACTCACTCAAAATGCACTCGCCTACTCAAGTTGAGTACACACCTTGGTCTGGCTGATGATGTCTGCCCCACCAGCACTGAGTCAGCCATGTCGGGCCTTTTAACAAATGGGTGGGCGGCAGCGGGTAGATCTTTTTCTTTATTCAGTATGAGTTCACTGGGTGTGTTCTCACACCCACAGAGCCATTATCACGGTTTATTGTGGCTCTCTTTCTTATCTGCTTCCACAGAATGATATCTCTATAGTGAAATATATCTGGCTCTGTAAAACCACCACACAGCAGTCTGAATCAGATTTTGTTTTCAATTCCACCTTTAAAAGTAATCATGTAAAAAACAAATCTAGAATTTTTAAACTAGATTGATCCTAGAATGAACCAATGGATTGAAATACATTTAAAAAGCAAAATTTCTATGCACACCAAGAAAATAACCTACAGAAAAAAAGTATACAGCACTAATAATCATAAAATCTCCCCCTCCTCAATTACACTTTAAAATAATGCCATTGAAATATTACATTTCTTGTTAGACCTTTTTTGTTTCAAAATAAGACAATGGTTTCTTTTTAGAACTTGTACTTAACCAAAGCAATGCTTTTGTGTTATCTTTGCAGGTAGCCTCTCTGCCCTGGTCTACCAGCACACTATTTCTGCCTATGCTTTACCCTGCAAATTACTGCTCCACTCCAGAGGTAGGCCATTATTGCAAGACACAGGATGTTTCTTCATCTCTGTGTGTTTGTGTGTGTGTAGATAAATGAAAACCCTTATCTCTTTGCCTACACAGATCTGGGCGCAGCAGAGGAGAGCGCAAATCACAAACCAGCATCAGAGGACAAGAGTAGAACAGGTGGGACAAATCAATAGATAATAAAGAATGCAAACCCAAATTGTTTACATTAGCATGTACATTTTACTAGCACTTGTCAAAAATTTAACAAAATATTTGTTAAAACTGATCATTTCTCCTCACAGACTCTTCTTATGTGTGATGTGGCTTACCCAGAATCTTGAGTGGAGCGAAGCATTAGCTAATTAGTGGTATTGATTACAGCTGTGCCGCTTTACCTATGATGAGTTAGGACATTGGCTGTGAATAAGAAGAGAATAGACCTGTCCATTGGAACTGCATGAGAAAAGGCAGCTTTGATCAAAGGTTACTGTGTCTCCTGTAAGCAACAAATATATGCTATGTATGCAAATTTGGGCCAAATCATATTTCAAATTACCTGTTTATGTCTGTTTTTCTTATGAGAATTAAAAGAAAATCCCGGGAGGGAGTTTCACTTACTTAAATGTATTACCCTACATATTTAATAACATGTGCATGTGCATTCAACCTCTATTCCTAATCTAACCTCCAAAATATTTGCCTTTTCCATAGCTCGCAATTTTGTCTATCTGAATGCTGTCCACACTGAGATGCTGACGGGCCCATGTGCAGTGCAGAAAGCGGTGTGCTCTACACTTGAGAAGGCCCCGGGTTCCTTCATACCAACCATAGTCAACCTGAAGGTGTCTTTGAAGGGTGTCACACTGACAGATATCAACAGGAAGTAAGAAAACACACATCCTGTCATCCTGCTGCTGAGATTTTACTTACAGTGCACAACCAATCATGGTGGTTTGTGTGCAACATTTTGTTAAAACTGATAATTTCTAACAGCCATAATAATTTCTTCACAGACTCTTCTTCAGACGCCATTACCCTGCTCACCTGCTGAGCTACAGTGGTGAAGATCCAGACAATCGACTGTGAGTATACAGCAACAAGTTATGAAATCAAAGGCCTTTATTTTTTAGAAAATACACTCTTATGTGACATTCATTATGGTTGCATTGTCTTTTATGTCAGTAACTGTATACAAAGAGCAGATCACCATTAGTACTCCGTGGTTATTTGTCTATTTGTTGTTATTATACATTATGTATTTACTGAATAAAAACACACAAGTAACTTATCACATTAAGGGTGGCTTAGTTGTATTTTGTTGTCCCCTAAGTCTAACAGCGAGCAAGCAGGGCTGAAACTGGCACATCTAAATAGAGGGCAGCAGTCATTAATGTTATTAATTACACCTGTGCTTCTCCTTATTATGACGTCAAAATATCAGCAGTGAAAACAATGCATTGTCAAACAAAACATTTTTGTCAACATATTGTAATCTTAAACTTTCTTTTTAAACTCTTACAGGTGGTTGAAAGGTTCCAGTTTTGGTGCAAGGTAATTTTGAACTATAATTGCTTACAAAGTCAGAAAAATGTTTTGTATTTAACTTTAAATTCCGCGTATTGCTCATACGACAAGCCATAGTTAAGCCTCCCAGGTTTCAGGCTGACATGCAATACTTAACTTTTATACTTGTGTTTAAAGTGGCAATAGTACATTTTTTGCTTTAACATTATGAAGTAGATGTTGATTGCACAATGTAATGATTATAGAATGGTGAATCCATTGGTGTTTAGATTGGTTCCCTATAAGTCTTGCTGTCACTTTGCAATTCTGTCGGCCACTGGGAACAATCTCCCAAGAAAATGAAGGCTCCGTTTACAGCATAAAGGAAGTGCGTTGTGCATTGTGCAACCAAAACAGGAAGGGGACAGAGTTATTGTTTTCCACGGTATCGATCGGTATCTGTCTCCAGTTACCGAAGAGTATCAACGTAAGTTCTTTGCAATTTGTTTCCGATCCATTGCAGCAAAAATGACGGAACCGAAGTAATTGTGGAAAACAAAATGCAGTGTGTCCTGTGCATTGTTGACAACTGCAATGAAAGTAGTTAGCACTAGCTCTAAAAGGCGGCAGATGACGTCATGTACTCATTTGCATATTGTTGACGTCAGCTCACATACAGCTTATTGGTTGGCAGTGAGGGAGAGACTGCCTGTGCGTGACCCAAGAGGAGAGGGAGAGACAGCTTGCTGTTTGCAGAGAAGCTGTGGACTGCGATTATTCTGAGCAGCATTGAGAATGAATAACAATATCATGTATCTGAATATACTGTATATCTTGCCGTTTCCCTGATGGTCTGAATAAATTGCTAAGTTTGTCGCTAGTATTAGCCACTGAGAAAAACCAAAAAGTAACCTTTGCAACACCAATAATACCACTTAGAAACTAAGGGGGAGTAGAAAGGTTTTCTATTGCCACTTTAATAAAAAACACTTCTTCTTGAACTTTGACTAATTTAATCTAATCAAGCGTTTTTTTGTCCCAATAGGATGTTTGGCTTCGTGGCGAAAGGTGTGGAGGCTGGCATGGAGAATGTATGCCACGTCTTTGCAGAATATGACCCTCTGCAGTCTTGCAACAAAGTTATTGAGGTTATTCAGGCTGCCATAGCCAAGCCTTAGACACACAAGGACGGAGACAACATGATCTTAAGACCTCACCAACACTGTCTGTCTTACACTGTACTTTTCTCAAGTAACCTGTCCAATATGGTGGTCATCGTAAGTCTCTGCTGCTGTTATTAAACTGGATAAATTACTGTTTCTGCCAAACACAATACCATCAAAATTGATTTAGAAGCGCTTTGGACGATCCCGACTCGTACCACGGTCACCTGATTAAAGTCATATTGAAAAGACAGATGGAACTGTATATACATATATGAAGATGTACAAGACTGAACAGCTGTCAAGCAAGAACATAACAGACAAGGAACCAGCAACATATGATTGTAATTAAATGGCACACTGCTACTGTTAAAATAATGTCCAACCAGTTTGTAAATATGTTAAAACAAATTAAACAATATTTATGTAATTCTTGATATATGAAGCTCCCAAAAAATATTTCAGTGTAAAATGTTGTAGAAAATATTGTAGAAAATGCTAGAAACCAACACCTACATAGAGGTTAGGGTATGGTTAACTCATTTGTGTAATCTGATGTTGAATCTGCACTAGGCGATTAATTATAGTGATTTGATATGAGGGATTTTGAAGGTTCTGTTAATAGATAGAAGAAAAACTGAACAATTGTCACGTCCTTTCATTTCAAAGCAGAAATGTTACATATACCCTAGTTGTATTGTTCAGAATATTTATTATGCGGCACTGTAAACAATTTCTTCTCTGTATATTCATGTTTTTTTTTTTCAATTGTTATGATGAGAAATAAACATGTTGAACTTGGGTGTGTGCATGCTTACAAATGTTTACGTCTGAGACAGAGAAACAGAATACATGAAAGAAAAAAAACACAACAGTCACTTTTTTATTTTTATTTTAAATGATAAAGTGTTAGATAAAAGCATAATTCTTCATTCTGAAGTTACAGAGCTCCCAAAATGAAGTGTGCTTCATGAAGCAAAGCAAAATCAAGCACAGAACTGCATAGATAATATCTTTAAATATAATATATTGTGAGGCACTCAAATGCAATTCACTATGGTCCTTTTCTTATTTTTAATATCTTTGGTGCCAACTCAAAATTTAGCATAAAAACTCGTAATCTAAGGTGTAACAGATCGCATGTGCCACACAACCCGAGTTGAGCATTGACTACAGAGTTATCTATTTACAAATACTGCCCTCCTCTGGTTGAGGCAGGGAATCTAAATTCTCTGAGACACATGGTGAGCATTAACAGCCTCACTGCTGTTAAGATCACAGTGAGCTGTTTTGTTGTTGCAGTTTTTTTGCGATAATGCATCGTAAAATAAAGCTACATTATCAGCATGAGTTGCAAGATTTCTTTTTTTTCTCCACAAAAGCAATGAACTTCAATGACAAAATACCTTCAATATACACACAATCAAGGAATCTCTCAGTGCTGATGTTCTTATAAGTGCTGTGTGTGAACTGTAGGGAAATGATTAGGGTGGGAACAATACGTTTTACTTTTTAAAAAGCATGACCCTCTTCAGCATCATGACTTGACTTAGAAAAAAATTGCAAAACCCTCACAAAAAAATGTTAAAGTAATATAGGTTTATTGAATTGTTACAATTCAATTTGCCATTAATAACTAAAATCACACAAAAATATAAGAGTGTGTTCTTTAAACATATGGCCAATAATAGAACTACAGTAAAGTAAAAGGTGTAAAAAAACTTTTACTTTATGTTTACTGCAGTTCTGCTTCTGTTGAGATGCAGAATATGGTGAAGCTCGGAGCTGCTATTGGATTGTGATGGAGCAGAAATGAAGTGATAACTGAAGAGATAACATTCAATTACTAAAACAAAAGCCACAATCATCTCTTTTTCTGCACCCTTCTCACCATGATAATTTTTGTACAGTCTCTTAAAGAAAAAATGCAAAAAAATCCACCTTTAGATAGTTCACAGCAGCTCATGGTTATCTGTGGCTCCACACCTCCAATGATCTGCATCCACCTGTGAACTCATCCTCCTGGGCCAAGTGCTGATTAGAATGAGTTCAACAGAGTCATACGGTCGATATAATCTCTTTTGTCCAGTGACCTCATACTGAAACAATCACAGTATTGAGGGACACTTTTCTTCATCTAGAGTGATGATGAAGAAATATGTTTAAATATGTTTAAATATTAAAATTGTTTTCCTCTGTAAGGTAATGGATGTCGGTCTGACATATTTGATGATGGTTTTCTGACACTATAAAAATAGCCCAAAGCCTAATGGGAAATGCTTATCGTGCCAGAGTCGAGATTTGATGAGAAAAAATTCAGATTCAGTCATCAGCAATGTTGATTTAAAAATACATAATAGGTATGGTGGCAATGGATGGTAATATCCTAGATGCAGTGGCGGCCGTGCATTTTATACCTAGGCCTTCACTGCTGTCCTGCAGCTGAAATACCACCTTATAACCACATGATGGCGCCACAGCTATTATTCGTTTTTAAGGCTGTAACCATGTACGTCTGCGTATTAAACCGTTCGGTACGAGGCTTACAATACATTTGATTAATACTAGAGCATTTGGAAAATGCAGAAGCTTAAATTCAGGATAATATAATGTTTTCTGCGCTCATGTAGGACAGTGGTTCTCAGCTGGTCTGGCTGTGGGATCCACCATCATTCCTTAATGACAAGCCGCGACCCACAGAGTTCATTTTAGGATTTTACTTTCACAACTTGAACATTGAGCAGTACTACTGCTCTGCAATGTCTTTCCTCGTCTCAACCCCCTGTGTCTTCGGTGTGTGGTACATCTCACTCGAGTCAGGAAACTTGTCAGAATGCCCATATTTGATTGGCTGAGCTGCATCACGTGATGTCATTCACTACCCGACTAAGCCTCTGCTGTTAAGTTTCGTTTCACGATAGTCACGTGCTCGCCCACTGACCAATCACAGCACACTCTGCACCTCGCGGCATAGCTGCACATGGACACTGAGCTGCATGTAATGCTGACGTAATTATAGGCCGGCTAGCAGGCGCTGACACGTCAAAGAATACGCCCGATATGTCAAACTAAAGATCTGATTGGTTGAACACTATGACAATCAACAATATCGTCCCCATTCACTTAAACTGCACATGGACGCACTTGTGAGTCTGCAGGCCTCGGGCCTCTGTTCTTACCTAGAGACACAGAGGTGAAATCTGATTGGATAAAAGCTCTACTTAAAACAAGCTGCACTGGAAGCAGAGCAACTGAGGAAGACAGTAGCTGTGCAATGAGAAAATAAGATAATGGGGTAAATATTTTATAAATGATAATACATGTAGTGTATTTAAGAAAAATTATAAAATTATAAAATAGATATAACTTTGTGATTCTGTTTAGGCCAGCAGAGAAGGCCTTGCAGGCCCTGACGGTCCACCACTGCCTAGATGTCAATGACCCAGCTACTATTTCTGTAACTCACCATGGTTTCCACAAACAACTGCAATGCAGTGTTGAGTCTGGCGAACCAGTTAGAGTCACTGTGTGATGGCTGGGATGCTGCGAGATCTCTTCATGATCAGACGCACCTCTACATCGGGGAGGCTGTCCTGTTTAGTCTGGGCACACCCCTCGTCTGCTGCAGCCATGTGCAGATCAAAGCGCAGTGACACCGACTTCTTCCGCAGCTTGGGATTCCCTCTGAAGAAAGAGCTCTCCCACTGCTTTATCACCTGGTCAATCTTCTCGGTCCTGGAAGGTTAGAAGGTTATAAGCCATGGCAATAAAAGGTGATGTTAATGTTTTCGGTCTCTATTCGGTTTATGTATCAAATATGTTTTATTTTGTTCTGGAAGATTTATAGTATTTGATATGCAGAAATAATTTATCTTTCATTTGAATGTGGATGTCAACTGCCGGCAGTCAATTTGTTTCTCGAAAGTATTTTTGTGTGTCATGTAATCCCATGTAGGATGGACCACTTCAATGGTACTGTGTTACAAAACTATTTTAAAATCCTTTTCATTTATGCTTAATGCACTTGGTTGAACAGTAACACCAGGGGGCAGTAAGAGAGAACATTTTAATTTCCTTAGATGTGACCTTGTATAAAAGCTATATAACAGAAAGTGCACCCCCTTTGAAACAACATGCAACCAGTCTGGCACTGACTAACTGAGGATCAGGACCTGGGATCATTGTCAACCAAACTACATCCCAAATGTCTGTCTATATGCAAGTGTGTCACTGCATGAACAGGGTAACCAATCAGACCAATTGATAACAGACGCAGAGCAACATTAGCATTTATTTGGCGTCTCTGGCCACCAGATGAACATAAGTCCAATATTCACTCTCCTTTTAGCCTGATGAAAATATCTGTCTGCTGTTTGCCACTTAGCAGGTAGCCTACAGTGGGGTTATTAGAGCGTGTTTGCGGAGAATGCTGCAACTGGAAACAAGGTTGATGAGTGTAGCCAGAGTCAGCCAAAACAATACATTTGTAAAATCGAAACAATGCTGTGTACAGCGCAGGTGAACAGCAGAGTCGAGTAATTATTTTCTGTGGGTTCGACACCACGAGCAACCTTTTTCATAACACAGTTACTAACATTTAATCAATTTCTAATGGAAAAAATTAACAGTTTTAGCAATTAATAGTCCATACTACCACAGCAAACACCACAATACTGTTCTGGGGTGAACAGATTAATTGGGACACACACGATGTGTATCACTCTTGCCTGTATACACACACACACAGAGAACTCTCATCGGTGCTCTGACCATCGGGTACAATTAACCACATCTGCTGTCATTTATAACCTGCTGACGGCTTTTACAGTTGGTTAAGACACATCAGTGAGTAGAAAATATTGTCTAGTACCATGAATCTCAGCTCCAATATCACCACAGCTTTTGACTATGACTGTGACGCAAACAGCATCGATGACATGCGCATTAGGAATGTTTTCAACTGTACTGGCCTGTGAGGTAGTTTTAATGGTATGGGGAACATTCAGCTGGCTAACACTGTTTCCATCAATACTTATAGGTGCCTTGATGCTGGAGCATTACCTAACAAAGTAGTCGACCAACTTAATGCTTTTGAAAGCATCAAGAATTAATGGGAGTATTTTACAAGGTAATGCTTCCTGTCTGACAGAAATGATGAGGATAAGGAGTCAAGGAACATTCAGTTAAAAATAAATTAAATGTCCCTTGCTATCAGTAAAGAATCAATCAAGTGACAGAGGGACTTACACTGCGATCTGCTGCTCACAGACAAAGTAAATACTCTGGTTGGAGTGACTATACATGTGTAGCTCTCTTATGATATAATGCATGAGTGTGTGTGTGTGTGTGTGTGTGTGTGTGTGTGTGTGTGTGTGTGTGTGTGTGTGTGTGTGTGTGTGTTACTTTTTGGATCATTGCATGTGGCTGGTAACACCCGAAGCATGACCAAAGAATTCCGCCCATGTCTCGTCCAACAATAACAGGTGCCACGCCCTGTAGATTCCATAACAAGCCTGTATCTCTCCACATCAAACACAACCCATGAAAGGTGGAACATTCCCATGCAGCGCTATGATGAATTACTCATGGGAACCTGTGCTGCCAATTAAACGTTTTATGCCTCGTAACTTGTTGAGCGTGTCATGGTAATTCCTCTGAGAGCTTATACGTCTCGTCATCTGGACCAGACGTCGCCGGGGTGGGGATGAGATGGACGAGGTGTGAAGGTTTCAGGAGATTAACCAAGCAAGAAACTATGTTGTTCGTAGTCAAAAAAGGCATTTATCTAGGCAATGTAGCGCAGCACTCTCTGAAGTAATGCTGTTGGTGCTCGCTACTACAAAAGGCCTATATGTCGGACTGAACCAAAGGTGCTGACTACAGGTCGATGGGGGGAAAAAAGATCAATACTTACTCAATGGTGCCGTGACCCTCAGCACTCTCCCGCACCACATTGCCCTGAAGAATCTCCTGAGTCTTCACAGTGGAGATTGGCAAGTCTTCATCTTTTTCTGGCTCTGTGAGAAGACATTGATGAGAAATCATAACAAGATATGACTGTAGTAAGAGTACGTGTGTGTGTGTGTGTGTGTGTGTGTGTGTGTGTGTGTGTGTGTGTGTTACCTGTGAGTATCACAAGGCTTTGCTGTCTTTGCAGTATGCCTTTCTTTAGCCCGCTGTCTGCTGGGAGGAGTGACGGTATTTCAGGCAGGGGCTCAGACTTGGGTTCGTCTGGAGTAACTGCAGGGTCACTGAAGCCGTTCTCTAGCCCTGTATCCTTCGGCTCCTCCATGGAAAACCTCCATGGCCGTAGACGCATTGGCTGCCCATTACGGCCCATGTATCTGCAGGCAGAAGGGCACAACATTCTGTACAGGAAATTAAGACATCTACAGTATGTCCAGCGGTGAGCAGGAGCCTAGGAAAGGGCTAAAAAAACCAGGGGAAGAGTTGTAAAACTCCTAGAAAGACCTGCTGGAAGGTCTGACACGTCTACCCAAGCTCACTGGATTGATGCCACCAACATTTGTGTCTCGCAGTGTGCTGGTATTACTTTGAAGTCATCGTCATTGCTAACCTCCATGACGATAACTGAAAGAGTGTAAGTGAAAAACTTGATTCATGATCTTCTTGAAATACCATCTGCCCCTCCTCGCATCCTCCTTCTTTCCTTCTCTCATAAGAGCTCTCTTTACACTGCCTGAGCAGAACTCTGGATGGTTAAAAGATGATATAAAAGTATTGTGCACTGATCTTTCAGTATCATCTTTTGTCCCTTTCACTTGGTTAATTTGCAGACATACCCAACTCACAAACCTTTGAGCTTTTATGTGTGCAGATGCTTCAGTGAGAAAGAGTCATTTTCACTGTATGAGGATGGTCTCGTCTCTTTTTTTGTCACACAGCCTTTTGTGCTCAGTCACCACCCTTCTCAAATATGAACAAACAATCCAAATTTCAGATGCCACGTCCTGTCTCTCCTTGGATCAATGACATCAGTCGGCTATATCCTGAATGAAAAGCATTCAAAGACATTTAGAAGCACCCCAATCTGTATATAACCTCTATGTGTCATAAAACTAAATTACTTTAAAAACTATAAAATGATAATCACATGGTTGAGGCAGCCAATGTGTTAAATTGGAAAGGAGCTGGATGAGAGATGTCTACAATAATTAAAGGCCATGCCAAAAGAATGGAATATTCCCTAATTTCACGATGGCAGGAAATAAGTTATGAGACCAGACATTTTGTCTGATTCAAGACAGAGCTGCATTTCTAGGCTATGAATTACTGGTAGAAGGTTTGTCTTTTTCACTTATCATTTATGCTTTTTTGTTTGTGCAGATAACTGGAATTTGTAATACATTTCCAATCACAGTTTTTACATGTCACTGTGTTGCTTGGCCGTGCTCTACAGCTTCTGTATGTCTCAACCTGCAATTAATAGTGTGGGTTTTCAGTTTCCATACAGATTTTACATAATCCCTAACAGAACAGTAAACTTTGACCAAACTTTACGTGTACCATAAATGCTGCTGTAGCGAAAGAATGTCATATCTAAAGAAACAAAATAGTAATTATTTTGTTTACTTATTTCTGAAGTGGAGAAATTTCTGTCTTACTCATGTCAGTGTGTGTGTAGTCTGCAATTTAGATTCAGACTTTGCTATATAGTATTGTGTATTAATATACTCGCCTGTCTTTTCTTTATTTGCTGCCCTGTTCCTTTTTTTTCAGATTTTGAAGATAAAGTGGCTCCATTGTTCTGGGGAAATCTTTTCCACTACAAAATACTATTTTATTTCGTGGTTGACACTAAAACCACAAAAATGCCAACTGAATAATTTCTTCCTGCTTCCTCTAACGTTTCCATTCCTTTCTCAGCGTCTTGCCCTAACCTGCCCTCTTCACGCTCCAGCAGACGTCGGTAAGTGCCGATCTCTCGCTCCAGCCTCATCTTGGTGTTGAGGAGCTGGCTGTGGCGCTGGTGTTGTGTCGCCAGCCCGCTCCTCACCTGCTCCAGCTCGCTCTCCAGCCCAGCGATAACCTGGGAAAGGTCCTGCAGCTGGCTGGAGTACACCCGCTGAGTGTTCTGCAGGGAGCTCTCCAGGCCTTTCTCCTGAAAAACAAAACGCAGGGAGCTTTAGGATAATGACTACACAGTTATCCTTAAATTTGATTAAGCATGTGAAAGCTAACTATGTTAGAACTTAGTCTAATAGTTATAAAAAACAAGAGCGTCATCCCTCACTGGCTTCCCACCACAAACAGTGTCAGTTGTGTTTGTTAGCTTGGTCTGGCCAAGCCCCAGGCCCTGCTGATTAATGCTACATTCTGAGCTACTAATGTATATTCTGTTTTTCTAAACCGGGGTGGGTTAGCCGGGGTGATACGTGATGATGTGTGATTTCTTACCAAGGCATGTAGGGTCTCAATCTCCACCTGCAGTGAGTGCCACTGGCTCCTGGCCTCAGCTAGCTCGGTCCGGGCCTCCCTCAGGGCAACGCCACCGAGGCTCACCTGCGTCCACGCTGCCTCTTCCTGGGTGAGGTGACAGGGATGAGACAGAGAGCCCAAAACCGCTGCCACCATCTACACACACACACACACTCATTTGAACTTCTAATCCCCAGTTAACTTTATACACCTACACCTTGTGGGTAACAGTTTTTTTCCCATTGGCACTCAGTCAGAAAGTCAGAGGAGAAGCAGCTGCAGGTGGTGCTATTGGTAGTGTGTGTTTCAGCTTAGGTAAACAGACAGGAGAGCAGAAACCCAGACCCATGTGTACACACAGCTGTACAAGCTGTGTGTACACTGTACAGCTGTAGAGCGCTTCACACCCTCCGTCCTCGCCCCGTTCAATGCAGTGAAGCAGTGAAGCAGCGAAGCTGTCTCAGCACAGTTATGACAATATTTTGACAGTAAAAACAAAGGAAGATACCTAAAGCTATGAAAATTAAATGACAAGCAAATTTAGGCTAAAATCAGCTCTTCATTACTGACAACACTGGCAAACAAGATTCCTTATCTTACATACAGTTGAATGTCAAAGGGCATTATTAATCCATCTGTCATCTCAGGCAGTGATGGATGAGACACAAATAATAATAATAATGATAACAAAAAAGAGGACAGTTAGGCTAAAACAACAGTAGAAACGCTGCTATTACTGGATAAACAATGAAACATCTTCAAGATATATGAGAATACTCAGGTTGTAATTTGGCTCATTCATTTTTAATGAAGATCAGGGATCATTCACTCAGAGAAGTAACTGATCATATATTGTAACACAATACTGTCAATGTGTGTAACAGTAAAAAGTGAGTGAGGAGGCAATCAGGCAATAATATACACAAGCATGCAAGGCATGAGCCCTAAACCTACAGCCTTTCAGCACAGTCAACAACTCTGCTAAGCATTTAACTCCAGCCGAGCACAAGCATCACTCAGCCTTGCCTATGGGATAACCTGGAGTGGGTCTTGAGGGTGTGTCTGGCTGGCAGTGGGCCAGGACAACATAAGAGAGACATAAAAAAAAACAAACATAAGTGAAGATGCAGTAGTATATGCGTACCTCACTGAGAACTCCTCCATGTGTTCTGGATGCTGCTGCTGCCACTCCAGAGTGGCTGGGCCTGACCAAGCCGGGGGGTGGATTTGACACGATACCCAGGCCAAGGTGTCTCTCGCCCAGGACGGGAAGTCTGCCATGGTCACACTGCGCTCTGATTCGGTCGAGGAGCTGGGTGAGCTCCATCCCTGTGCCATCCTCCTCCTTCCCTCCTGCTACTGCTGCTGCTGTGGCCGTCGCTAACAGAGCATCGCAGGAGCTGGCCCGCTGCAGCTGCAGCAGCCAACCAGATGGAGCAAGAAGATGGTGAGAGAAGGAGAGAGAGGGAGAGTGTAAGACAGAGAAAGGGTGAGAAAGAGAGTGAGTGATGTAAAGAGTGAGAAGAGAAAAACAAGACAAAGAGGGAGAAGAAACTTGTTTGTGGATGAATAGGTGCAGAGGAGAAAAAGATGGCAAGAGTGAGTGTGTGTATGCGTGTGTGTGGGGCAGAGAGTCCACGCAATGCAGAGGTAAGAGACAAAAGAAAAATCAGTTATTGAGCCCTACGTGTACATATGTGTGTGTAAGTGAGCATGTGTGTGCATCTGTATGCAGGAAAAGACACTTGAACTGAGGGAGGGAAGTATTAGTCAGCAGGAATAAGGAAATGAGGAAGAGAGGAGGGGTGGATGAGGTCATAGTAAAGGGACAAGACATCATTAGATGCTGTGAAATGAATCCCTTACAAATCAAATGCACACACACACACACACACACACACACACACACACACACACACACACATGACGCAACACTAATGTCAGGGTTGGAAGTATAAAGTACAACAGGCTACTTATAATTCAACTGTTGTAATAACAATGATAAGTGATTTTATACTGTAATGTTCAAATACAATAAATTACACACTGATCATTTTATCTGCTCTTAGAACTAGTTGTCCTGGTCAGCATTAGCATCATGTTAGTACCAATAACAAGATGGCAAAACAGCAATGTCAGCTGGCGTAACACTGCATTTTCAAAAAGGACTGTGCAAAGCAAAATTAAGAGTCAACAGCCACGCTCGCAGATCTGGAAAGCTGAAATGACAACTTCAATTTTTAACCAGATTTTCCTATGATTTTGCATCTAAATGACTAATGGGGACACATTTTTCTAAATTGGTCTGGTATTTAGCAACACTACCATGGCAGGCAGCTGCTAAAAGAGCTGTTATGTAATCCTTCACTGTAATTGACCCTTTGCTAACCCACACACACATACACACACTGCTACTGGCATGGAGCCCACACTGTCACTAACTGCACTCCCAGAAAAAAATTCATCTAATTTTTGGAAAAACAAAAAAGCGATTTTAGAGAAAATCACACAGAAAGATCCTCAATAAGCGTTTGAAGGACATTATCCAGGATGTAAAACTGATTCAGGAGTGAAAACAGGTTGAAAGAGAAAGATAGAAGCTAAAGCCTACATATCACAGGGTAAAAGTGAACCACCACATCACCGGGCAATGGAGACAGAAGACAATTAAATTAAGGAACAACACTGTTCCTGTAGAGCTGGGTAGGTCTTTATTCACTGTTGTAATGATTATATATATCAAAAGTAGCATGTGTAAACATGCTGTAAACCTTCGGTAGCTAGCGTAGCATAGAATTGCTAACGCTAGAAGAGAAATGTAACGGACAACTTTTAAATGAGATGTACTCCCATTCTTGGATGGAAACTACCGACAGACTGGTTAAGTCAATGCAAGGATTCCCCAAACTGGCAAAGCTGGCACAACAGTATGTCTGCATTCTCGCAAAATAACTTCCAAGGGGGTGTTTTCTAGGGCTGTACCGAATAGTTTGAAGCTTTATTCGTAATGTTGAGACATTCAAAATATTATTAAACATAAAACATTGAGGGCACTAGTCCACCTTCAGCCTTTTCTCCCCTCCTCTCTCAAAAACCAAAAAACAACATGTTTTTATCTAACAAAATATTCTGCTTCAATCCATATTTGTTGGTGTTAAGCCTGGATTGATTGTTAATGTTACCAATAATCGATTAAAGAAAGTGCTTACAATTTGCCACCATTGTGAAGAAAGATGTTTTATTTCTCTGTAGGTTACTTTTCATAATGTTGTCAGACACTTGTAATAACAATCTGAGCCTGTCAGTAGCAAAAACAAGCCCTTTTAGTAGATGTATATTGACGGTGCGGAATTGACTCTCTGTTAAGTCCTGTTATTTAGGCAGACTGTGTCCAACCTGTGGAGCTAACATTAGCAGACATCATTACAGACGTCTTTAACTAGCATTAGCATGTCTATGCTATGCAAGCTACTGAAAACGTGTCTATTGTCACTTTAAAATAGAAAGGGTTGTAGTGTGAGACCGTGCATGCATACAGATGGAAAAAAAACACTATCAGAAAGAAAGATAGACAGGCACAGTGTAAAAGGCAGAGACATGACTTTGATAGAAAAAGGGAAAAGAAAGAAAGAAAAAGATGTCATAACACGCATTTGCAGGCAGCACATTTAGTGACCTCAAACTCCTGGTGCATCTCCTGCAGATCTGACATGGAGTGCCGAAGGTCTGCCTGCAGCGTCGTGCTGCTCTGATCTGCCTTCCACTTTGACTCCCTGAGCAGAGCCACCTGTTGCTCCAGACGCCCGGTGTTCCTCTCCTCAGTCTCACACCTATGAGGTGACGTCAACAGACAGGGCTTTACTGAGCCCCATTCTGTGTTTATTATCAATCATTTAATCACGACATACATAAATAAACACAGGGAAGAAAGGGTAAAAAGGCCAAAGAAATTACATTCATTCAAATAGAGCCATTTATCAGTTTAAAGTCCAATGGAAAGTATTGACATATTCCGCCGATTTGGCATATATGCAGATTAACTAAATTTAAAAGTGGATTGCTGATAATAGTAAAATTGTTCCGGGGAGTACGCTTGGTCTATGTCACTTTATCATATACTTTATTAGCTCATTTACACAGAAACAACAACAACACGAGTCACTCCCTACCCGAAGAATAAATTATAATCTGATGCTATCATGAGTTCAAATGTAATCCTGTAGAATGTAGTTTTTGGTGAGAATCCTGAATAAATACTGTTGTTTCAAGGAGATGTTTAGCATGGCAATATAAAATAGATATTATGACCTGTTTAATTTCCAAACCCTAGCTCCCAGCAGCTTATAACACATGATTAAAACTACTAATGCCAAGATTTTTTTATAACAATCATTTATATCCTAATCAATTGAATTGTGTTTTTACGCAATAGATATAGTATTTTTGTTGTTATTGTTGGTGTTTTTAACTCACTGATGCAGGATCGGTACTTGGTATCAGTAAGGAAAATAGATAATAGATAATAGCTAGTGAGTATCCACTAAGGGATTGAAGGTTGTTTTAGCTGAAAGATCCCATTTTGGTGCGTGTCAGTGAAGGAAGGTGTTGCAGAAATCATAACTACAAGTCCAAAGGTTGAAAAAGAACTTGACATCATTTAAATGTGTCATAAAAAGAGTCCAGAGTCTCACAGTCACACTCAGCGGGTCAGGAGACATCAGGTAGAGCTGTAAATAGAACAGGTTGCCACTGTCCTTCAGGGGTTAATGGCCGACAGCGGAGGTATGGTGTGTGTGGGTGCGTGTGTTGAGGCTGGTGTGTGTGTGTGTGTGTGTGTGTGTGTGGGGGGGGGGGGGGGTCTTGGTGTCACTCTGCATCAATACATAAGTGAAAGTGCTGACGCGGCACAAAGCCCGGCCTGGATTTGTATGCAGGTTGGCTAACAGAAGCGGGAACTGGCCCGAGTTAGATAACAGACGACTGGAAAAGCATTGCAGCAGGATGAAAACAGGAAGTGTTTGTTAGTTATTCTACATCTATGCTTCATATATTGTGATGCCTTAATGGGCCAGTAATGATAATCACACCTTTTCTTCTCACATGTTACCTGTTATACTATCTAAAATCTGTATTTTCCTTTTCTGTGTCTGATCAATTTAGACATAAACTGTGTGAATGGGTGTACATTTTTTTTGGGATGCGACCTCATGCCTGATATATTTAGCGTTAGAGCGTTAGGAAAACTACAGCCAAATACAGCTGACCTGGCCTGGATGACAGCAGCTCTGGACTTCATGCTGTCAGACTGTAATGCCAGCTGGGCATTCTCCATCAGTAGGTTACCAACCTGACAAAACAAAACAAAAATACAATAACATGAGATTAGATCAAGGAAAATACAAAACCATAATGCAATTCTACAGCATTTTCTATGAGAATGTAAGTGAAATTGGTTTAGGCTGAACCATTCGGGTGAAATCTACTGAAAACATGAAAGTAAATGACTTTATTTGAATACTGAATGTTTTATCAGCAACAAGTGATATTTTGAATTGTATGTCCTACATCAAAATATGCAGATACTGTATTATTAATATTGTTTTGTTTTTCACTTCATTATCTCTGAATAATAAACCAATAGTCCTTTTTCACAGCAGACATTTTGCCTTGTCATTGTATGAAAAAGTACAACTGGTGGAATAGCCTTTCTATCAACGATGACTATGTGTCTCCTTTTTCTACAATCGTAGTAATACTAGTAAAAGCTTTGATGCTCGTACATTGCTTGGCCTTCGGTGTTGCTGCTTGCGACTTCCTCAAGAAACGCTCATCCAAACAACTCCACCACACTCAACATAACGCTTCTTTGGGTCCAATACACCTGCCGTGACATAGTTGCAGCCCCACACAATGCTAGAGTATACACATCATTTGGTTGCAAAAGCTTAAACATCGACTAAGAGCAAGCTTTGCATAGCAAGCTTTGAATAGCAGGCTGTGCGGGCGGGAGTGTAAAAGTTAATATAGACTGCTGCAAGAATGGGTCCTAAAATCATAAATGAGTATGAGTTAGAATTTTTGCACTTCCGATATCCTCGTCTCATAGTTAATGGTTTTTTAAAAATGGGTTTTTGTCTGTCTGTGGTTATCACAAGTTGGTGTATTTAGTTTGGGAAAAAAACAATTCGGTTTTTGTCGAGGGAACCAGTGCGATGATAACTTCCTCCCTGCAGCACTGTATTGTAGCGAGTGACAAAAGGCGAGCTGTACCCAGCGGTCCCCTCTCAATACACTACAAAATGTGTACATAACAAACTCCGAATAAATATATCCCGTAGATCTCTAGAGCTCGCAGTCAACACTGCACTTCATTTGGTCCTTAGCAATACACCCGCGAAGTGTGAGGAGGATCGGATGAACGGTTGAGAGATGCACAAACAGACAGATACTCCTTCCATTTTAGTTAGATTACATCATTAAACAGCTAATTTATCAAATGAACTTCTTTGTTGACAAGGGTAGGGAAGAACAAGGGAAAACGTATGTATTACTAAATGAATCCACTCCCTTAAAAACTGTGATGACTAAAAGGTGTTGCACAATCCACAAAAAAAACGTTTGTATTAAAATTCAGTTAGCTGACATCATTATTACAGTATCTCTTTTTAAAAAGATAATCACAATCAAGACTACATAATATATCAATTCTCTAAACTTGTAAATATTTGATAGAATACTGAAATAATCAGGTTGACGTAATAGTTTGGAGTAATAGATATTGAGGTTTATAGCATAATACAATTCAAATGTTTTTTGAATTGTTTAAAAAACTGAAGTTGAAAGCGTAACAAGTAACATTCAAAACAAATTAGTGATTACCTCTCAGTATGTACATCATACTGTATACATACTGTACATGGAATAAAGCTAATATCTTCAACACAGCCAACAAACAACTGTATTTATGTGTTTAACATTAGCAGTTGCTGAAATTCGCACAATTCTTTCAAGATTTATTTAATTCTTTACAAAAAAGTGGCTCCTTGACTTTTATCTCACACACAAAGATGCTAGCACACCCTTATTCCCTTTTGTTTTCTCGTGGGTGCCACACTTTCAGAACTAGACACACCCATGTTGAAGGCAAGCCAGAGATAACATGGAATATTCCATAACATTTATACCTCACAGAGACACTCAACAGGATGAAGATGTCTCAATACACTCTCATTTTTGAGCTCTAGTGTGATGAGTGAATCTGCACTCTGACACAATCTCATATTATTGTTTTACTAGTCTGTGTTGTAAATAACATAACAGTTCTTAAGAAGATAAATAGAAAAGTAATCCCAGAAGTTATTCATCACTGAACAATGAAACTACTAAGAGTTTGCTCATAGTCATGGGAATACCAGCCAAAGCTCTGGAGACGAGCTATGTGACACGGTATGCAACAAGTCATTAACGTGTCTGTCAGTGACACATACTCATGCAGAAAGTGACTATTACACAAGGGAGCAGTTAAAAACCATCATGTCAAATCATGTGAGATCACCAAACCGGTTAGTATTAATGCGGTCTACTAAGTGGAATGGCCTTTAAAGTAATGAAGCTATAGCGTAAGTTCGGTCAGGAAGCCCATTCTTTTGCACGCTTAGGCCTGTAGTTTATTTCTCATCCTGCTCCGACTCATAATTTCCTGCTGTCATCGTCTGGGGCTGTCAATCGTGATGTCAGTTCTTCTTATCAGCTGGTCACATCTATACAATCACTACATTATTCGTCTTAGCATCTTTCAGCTGTCTCTTTTTAAACATGATTGTCTTTTGTTACTTGTAATACAATTCTCTGCTTTAAGAAGGTCTGTGTTTCTTGCTGCATTTTTCCATGACAATTGAAACTAGAAAATTCCTAAAGAAATTTTGACAGTGTGGCTTCTACTGCCCGAAGAAATCGCAATATATACACACGCCAATGTTACCGGTAGTGTCATTCAGGTTTAATTGAGATAGCGCTACTCTCTTTTCTGCATTTTAGATTCATACTCTTGGATTGAATCTTGTATTTGTGGGGCTTTTATTTTGAAATGGTGGGACTGGGTGGGTGAGAGAGGGGGAGAGGAGACAGAATCATAATGTTTGACACTAAAATGAGAGGCTTCATCACAAGCATTCCAGTTAGAATTCATTCTGTGGGGCTTTTAATTTGAAATGGGGGGGAGGGGAAAAGTCCTCTAAAAATATCTGAGACCTGAATGACTGTATGATAGTGAGAGACACAGAGAGGGAGAGAGAGAGACAGACAGAAAGATAGACAGAGAGGAGAGAGAGACAGAGTGAGTGAGTGAGACAGACAGACAGACAGTTAGATTGACTGAGTGAGTGGGAGAGAGAGACAGGCAGACAGACAGACAGTTAGATGGACTGAGTGAGTGGGAGAGAGAGACAGGCAGACAGACAGTTAGATGGACTGAGTGAGTGGGAGAGAGAGACAGGCAGACAGACAGTTAGATGGACTAAGTGAGTGAGAGAGAGACAGGCAGCAGACAGTTAGATGGACTAAGTGAGTGAGAGAGAGACAGGCAGACAGTTAGATGGACTGAGTGAGTGGGAGAGAGACAGGCAGACAGACAGTTAGATGGACTGAGTGGGTGGGAGAGAGAGACAGGCAGACAGACAGTTAGATGGACTAAGTGAGTGAGAGAGAGACAGGCAGACAGTTAGATGGACTGAGTGAGTGGGAGAGAGAGACAGGCAGACAGACCGTTAGATGGACTGAGTGAGTGAGACAGGCAGACAGGAGTCCTCTAAAAGTCTCCAAGACCTGAATGACTGTATGAGAGAGAGACAGAGAGAGAGAGAGAGAGAGAGAGAGAGAGAGAGAGGAGTGTGTGTGCGTGTGTGTCTCAGTGCCTCTGTGTGTTTATCAACATCACTAATGAGCTCATATAAACACCTGTGTGCATGTTGGCGATTGGAGCACCTGTGTGTTAGAGGCTAATTAAGAGAGAGAGTGAACAGTGATTTTCAACAAAACTACCTGTCAAACATATGCCCTTCATACCAAAACCATGAGACTAATCAATAAAATATGGATACCGTGAGAGAGATAAGACTCTGGCAAACGCGGAGATGTGTTTTTTATGTTTGTGGTCTTAAAAATGTGAGCTCGAGAGCAATATGCAAAACTGGTACCGTCTGCTTTCTTTGAGAAATGAGTGGCTTATCGCCCTGAAAGCCGTTCAACTGTCCGCCATTAACCATGAAAAAAATAACCTCTATTTCTGCTTAGTACGTGTTGTGGAAGTCACAGATATCCCAGGAAACTAAACGCCGTCATGTCTGGGTTCATAACATTGTCCAGAGGAGCTCCATGGATTTTATCAAGCTGTATTCACTGTGTCTAGCAAGCCACACGTCGCTGTTTACTACAGCTGTAGGAACACAAAATAAACTGATTTGGCTGTGACTTAACGGCAATAAACCGACAAAAAGGGACTCCGAAATAACTACGTAATGATGCCGATTTGATCGTAGAGCTCTAGGTGAACATAGACGGCTACAGTATTTATTTCCTGATTCAACAACAGCAGGACGTCAGTGATGACAGGAGGAGCATCTCAACGCTGATAGGCTATCGCGCGGGGGCGTAACGCGAATATTTCGCAGAAGTTGAAAATTTCAACTCGTGCGTTTGGAGCGATTTGGCGATGGACGCGGATTCGCGTCAATCGCGCCGCGCCATCGCAAGCTGGTGACGCAAACAGGAAGTCCTCTGTAGCATAGGCCGTCTCATTTCGGAGACCGCTCCGTCCAGCCTTCGTGGTCCTCAAAGGACACGGCCGACGTGGACCGCGAAGGCTGGGTCCCCCGAAGGATGCAGTTGCTGGATTGGGACACAGGCAGTGTTTACAGCGGAAGCAGATACCGGGATCCAAGTCGAACCCACCAATAGAAACTACTGGCTCATTCAGCAGCGTATGCTCCGCCCACTACATCCAAACTGAACTCAGCTTTTCGTTTTGAAACCAAATGTTTTTTTTTAACCAAAGGTTGTTGTTTTTTCAACCAAAGATTTTTATTTTTTTTTTAACCAAAGGTTGTTTTTTTTAACCAGTAAAACTAGCAAATACATTATTCTCAGTTTATATATTTTCACTTACAAACTCGATTTTTGATTGCAGTTCGAGAAATTTGCTTTTGAAACATTTTTTTTTGTTTGCATAATAAAGACACAAATATACCTTCATACGTTTATAGCCTCAAACCCAGGTTTAACCACCATTCACTTTCAGCCCTTGGATCACTTTCCAAAGAGTGTTAAAGTGTTGTTGTTACATGTGGCTTTAATCAATTAAATGAATGTTGCAAGCAGTTGTCAGCAACACTAGTCTGCTGCCTTTCACAACTGCTTCTGTTGCCTGCAGGCTACTATGGCCTTGAGCTGAAGTCAGGGAACATAATCTGAGCATAATCATAATCATGTGAATATAAATAGTCTTGGAGCAAATCTGCAACACCTCATATCTTATTCTGGCAACACTTTTTAATAGTCCGAGTGACTTTGAATAATCACCTGATAGCTACAAAATCTCTAGAAGCAAACAGTGTCTTTACCTGGATGCGGAGCTCCTTCACAGTGTTTTCCTGCTGGGACCAGTCCCGGGAGCGTGAGGTGCTCCTGACGGACCAGTCAGCTATCTGAGCCTCCAGCCGCTGGTTGGCCTCCTGCAGCCTGTTCACCTGCTCCAGGAAGCCCTTCAAGCGGACGTTCAGTCTCCACATAGTGTGACTGGAGTCCTGCAGCAAGTCCATGAGACCTGAGA